TGTACTGTGTGTACTCAGTGACTGCCACTCCTGTAAAATGTCTTAATGCAATATCTTGACAAACCAATTGTTGTTGGATTGATAGATTTCTTTTGCCCACCAGTATAACTTACCAAAGCCATCTTTGTCACTCTCCTCTTTTCTTTGAGTCCTTGTTTTTTCTGTCGGTAAATAGAATACAGTACTTGAGTTTATTAGCTTAGTTTTAAGATTTTGGAAAATTTTGATTGAGACATTTATCAATTGTCTGGATTATTTTAAATGTTTTAACTTTATGGCTTATGACAAGATGTGAACGCAGTATGGTCAGACAGTTGTAATTATCTCGAGGAAGCATCAATGTGTTTGTGTGTGTGTGCATATTGACTTTGGCAAAAGTTTCAGTGGTTAGGATTTTCATTAAATCATAATTGACAACTTTTTTTACTTTTACCCTCTTCATCACTGATTGGCTCTTAGCCGCTTGAGCAGTCGGCCACATCTCTGTTAGGCACTGTTGGCAAGTACTGTGCATGTACTGGTTCTAGAATGTATATGTACCTGTGTCAGTGTTGGTCAAGATAATTCTTGAATCAGCTCACACTCGGTGTCATCACAACACTCTCTGGCATATTATTCCAAGAGTTCCTTCACTCCAAAAAATTTTGCCCTGACTGTTTTCTGAACTTGTGGCTTCATCAACTTTAAGCCATACCCCCTAGTGGGGCAGGTATCCGCCAGGTTAGGGTATGAACATTCAACTGAATAATATCCGCTGAGGTTTTTATAAACTTCAAAGTTAGCCCTTGAGCACCTATAGTATAAGTTAGGTAACTGCAGGCTCTCCAGATACCTGAAGTGCTGCAGTGAAGGCACCAGTCTGGTATCTCTCCTTTAGATGTGTTTTCATTCAACTGACAGTCTCTAGCATATGTCAGGGACCAGACAGGATAATATTACTCCAAACAAGGAACCACCTCAATTTTGTAAAGTGTTACAAGGATTATCTAGATATGTAAATGCCCTTCCCTTATAAGACCAAATAGCTTAATCGCTTGATTCACCTTCATCCCACAATAATCTGAGAACTTCATTTCATTGTCAACAAACACACCCAGGTTTTCTTTTCACACTTGTTATCCATTAATGCTGTTTCTTCATCCCTTTGGGACATGTGATATAATACCTCCTTATTGTTGGTACAACCTCATTGCATCCTTTTTCATTTTGTGACATTTAATCTTAACCATTCCTTTGACCATTCTGAAGCTGACAGAAATTTTTCTGTAGTTCTTCACAATTACATTTCTTTGTTGTTTGCCATCACATTTCACACACACACACACACACACACACATATTTATATTTCATGTAAATCCACAATGAAAACGTGGATAAGATAAATCTTGATAAAAACACACGGGAAAATGGAAACAACGGAGCACCTTAGCTTTCGTCTTTATTCAAGACATCTTCAGAGGCAACTGGATTACATGGACAGAGAGAGGCTTAAATATACAGGGTGACCTTAAAAACATGAGGTCAGGTCATAATGATGTCATCCACTAATCCCTACACCAACACACACGTAGAGGAGCTTAAGAGAAGGGGGGTGACGTGACTAGTCAGGTCAGGTCAAAAATAAGGGACCCACAAAATAACTATCATACATCTAGATCAAAGGTTTTCAAAGCATTTTTAACCTTGGGCCACTGACAAATAAATTTATGTAACTTATTATCAGTTTTGAACTGACCATCACTAAGGTTTATTGATTTTAATTCCTTAATCAAACTAGCTTCAACAAGAAGTCTTTCTGTGACACAAGATGATTTAAATACTTCTAAGCTTTTTTCCCAAGCAATGGGGTGATTATTATTCCTAACATGAACGAACAAGGCACTGCTTTCAGATGCTATTTTGATATTATACTTATGTTGTTTGATTCTGAGCTGCAGTGTTGGTGTAGGGATTAGTGGATGACATCATTATGACCTGACCTCATGTTTTTAAGGTCACCCTGTATATTTAAGCCTCTCTCTGTTCATGTAATCCAGTTGCCTCTGAAGATGTCTTGAATAAAGACAAAAGCTAAGGTGCTCCGTTGTTTCCATTTTCCCGTGTGATTTTATCAAGATATATATATATATATATATATATATATATATATATATATATATATATATATATATATATATATATATATATATATATATATATATATATATATATATATATATATATATATATATATATATATATATATATATATATTATATATATATATATATATATATATATATATATATATATATATATATATATATATATGGCATCAATTATCTGTATCAGTTAATTTCTGATATATGATGTGGATGGTGTTATTAACTCAGGATTCATTCCAAGTGGCCTAGAAGCATATAGAACTTGGTGCATCATTGAGAAAGTAACACCTTAAGTTTACTAGCTCACTGCTGATTGAGGTGGGGAGGTTAGGTTAGACGACACATCCTTTTCTTGGATCCAATCTCTGGGACTAATCCTTCGGTGGGTTTGTTTCATGTTTTGTTGCACTTGTGTCCTATGGGAGGAATGTGTTATCCATATACAATACTGTACATTAGGACTTTTGGAGGCAGATATATAATTACCCCTTGCCCTATTACCCATTAATTTAAGTTCATATGGAAGCTTAAGCTATTAACTGAAGCCACATCCAATTCCTCTTAAGTCTTTTGTGTCAGAAGATGGGAGGATATACCTGTACAGTACTATTTTAGGTCTGTAATTTCTGTTTCAGAGGCTTCTTGTTTAGTTTTTGTGGTTATGTGTTTTCATAGATTTTGTTATGTAGCATAGGTTTGGTATGGATGTACACCCACTAAAAAAATTATTCGGCACCCTTACGGAGTGATACAATATGACACGGGTGCCGAATAATTTTTTAGTGGGTGTACAGTCCCCTTCACTAGTGCATTTACAGGAGCTCATCAGGTTTTGTGCAGTGTGATGGCATTGTGTTTGTTTATATTCGACAAAAGGAAGCTTGCAATAGTAAACATAATATGGAATCAAATTAAAACAATATTAAGACAAATATCTCATTGTGTATCCAGTAATGGCTCTCACACTTCCTATGAATGGATTGTGGTATGGGTTCCTTTGGTGTTAATTGGTATGGCTCACCTTTCCATTTGCTTCCTCATCTTTTATACTGACCTGTATGGTACTGGTTCATGGGACTTGGTGGTGACTTCACTCAACCTGTCTCTGAGGAACACTGCGCTGTCCTGATTTTGGGGACCTGGATCTGAAAGCTTTTGAGTAACTTTAATAAAGTATATGATAAGAAGAGGGACAGAATTGGTACTCTTTCTGTACCCACTTCCTCTGTAGTTGAGTTAACTCTAGTAGAATACTTGTCCTCCTAGTCTTCAGAACATTTGTAACACTGCCATCTCCTACTGATCTAGCTGGGGCATTCAATAATGAGTCACATGGCAAAAAATTTTTGAACTTGAAATGGAGAATTGACCCTGAAATTCTGTTCACAAGTAGAACCTGTCAGTGGGTTATAGCCAAGACCCAAAAATTGACTAGCACTGTAATGAGAATGGGTTCTATTGGACAACAGGAATTCAGTATCAATCTTCTTTATTTACATCAGGCAGTATTTTTGGTGCACAGGTTCTCCAGTTGGCCATTCCATCCTTGTTCAAGGTAATTTGAGGTTAACATACAGTATGATTGATTTGAATTCTACCAATCATTTTATTGATTTGTTTGATGGAGACAAAGCCAAGCTTCTGGCTTCAAAGCTGAAACCATGGGAATGTCACAAAGTTGAAGCCAAACATTGAAAAAAGTCATGAAGCCAAAGCCATGGCTTTTCAAGGCTTCATGAAACTTGAACATTATTATTTACATAATATACTGTATTATCTTACATGTTGAAGGTAATTATAAGTTGCAGCAAGGCTTTGAGATACGCTGATTCTCCTTGAGGATAAGTTTTGACTCCCCATATACTGAGAAAGGTTACTTATATTAACAATTTGACTTACTAAATTTAATTTATCCATAATACATAACATAGTAATTTACAGACACAGATCAGTGATAAACATTTGGAATGAATCAACATAAGATTTTCAAAGGTACAAAGTGAGATAATGTCAGGTCACAACCGTTTGGTATCTTTGATCTCTTCCAATATTCAGGTTTGGTCCTTGTGAGAATAGACCAGTTGGGATAACTTGTGATGTTAATGTGGGTCTCAGTTCATTTAAAGTCAAATCAAGGTCACATGGTCAACTTTCATCTGGCCTGACCTCTCCTAAAGTTTACCCTCCATGGCACTACTTAGGGTGGAAATTCTGACTTGATTGAATTGTGACAATATGTTTGCATATCAGCCCTGGTCACTGACATGCTGGATAGTAATTTTTGCACTGATATTACAATCCATGTCACTTGTCAATTCAGGTCAAAATTGCTCTGCCTTGGATCCACTCAAATTTGATATATTTATTTAATATGGTCTAAATACAATTATATAATATGATCAAGGAGTTTGTGTAAAGATGAAAACCCAAAGCCAGGCCAGTGGCTTTGAGGCTAAAGCCACTGCTATGCCTTTGGCTTCAAAGCCAAATCTGGTGCTATGCTTTTTGGCTTTAAAGCCAAAGCTGATGCTATGCCTGTGGCTTCCAAGCCAAAGCCAGTGCTGTGCCTTTGGCTTTGAAGCCTTTAGAAAATTTCAAAGCTAAAGCCAAATCCAAAAAGCATGGCTTTCAGAAGCCGAAGCTGGCTTGAACCCCATGCTTGAAAACTGTACAGGTACAGTGGTCCCCCGATTAACAAACAGTCCAATTAACGAAATTTCGGTGAACGAATTAGCTCCCATAAGGATTTTCAGTTCCATTAACGAACAAAACTTCGATTAACGACAGCCTTACGAGAAACACGCTTTGTTGTGCGGATCAGCTGATCGGCTAGTCCGCCAAAACAGTAATTGGTTCTATGTTTATATTCGTTTCCAGTGGAATAAATATCAAGAAAGCTGTGCTCTTGAATATTTTTGCATTTTTTATATTAAAATTATTGGTCATTCTAAATACAGTACAGGGAACAGTTTTTGTGCGCCAGTCAGCTCATCGAATCACCCACCACCGCTTCTCAGTTTAACTTTGTTTACAGTGGAGTGAACATCCAGTTTGTTGGTTTCTTGAATATTTTTTCATTTTTACATTAAAATTATTGGTCTTTCTAAAATTTAGTTCACAAATTGATAATATACAGTGCAAAAATTATTATGAAATGCGAAGAAGGCATTAGAACCAATGCACTCTGTAAAGAATATGGCATGTCATCATCGACTGCCTTTACAATCAGCTGTTTGATATGTAAACAAAGCTGCCGGGAATACGACATACACACCTCAAAGTAAGTTAAAATTCAGCATTCTATTGTTTTTTATTTATTATTGTACAGTATACTGTACAGTACAGTCCTGTATTTGGTTTATATTTAATGATTTGGTAATTCTATTACTGGTATACAGTACTTTGTATGTACTTTTTCTATGAGTTGGAACCAATTACCCAATATCCCATTGAAATAATAAATTCAGTTAACGAAATTTTCAGTTAATGAACGACTCTGTGGAACCAATTGTGTTCGTTGGTCGAAGAACCACTGTATATGCCCATACCCACCGAAATCTCATTTGTGTTACTCCCTTAGTTTGACAGGCATTAGGAGAAAACCAGAGATAGAAAAGGTTCTTTTCCCCATATGAGATGTCATCCAAATGACCAATTTCTCCTTTCTATCACTTTATTGAAATTTTTAGGCTAGTCACTCTATATATTGAGTACTCGGTGTACAGTGTTCAGGCTATCAGCTGGTTGATGTCCCACACACACACTGTGAAGTTTTTTTGTTGTGCAATAAATATAAATGATCTCTGGCAGTTAAGTCCACCACTCCAGGAACTGTTGGGGCAGGTTCTATATAGGGCCACCACTCCAGGAACTGTTGGGGCAGGTTCTATATAGGGCCACCACTCCAGGAACTGTTGGGGCAGGTTCTATATAGGGCCACCACTCCAGGAACTGTTGGGGCAGGTTCAGGCCACCACCCAGGAACTGTTGGGGCAGGTTCTATAGGGCCACCACTCCAGGAACTGTTCAGGTTCTATATAAGGCCACCACTCCAGGAACTGTTGGGGCAGGTTCTATATAGGGCCACCACTCCAGGAACTGTTGGGGCAGGTTCTATATAGGGCCACCACAGGAACTGTTGGGGCAGGTTCTATATAGGGCCACCACCCAGGAACTGTTGGGGCAGGTTCTAAGGCCACCACTCCAGGAACTGTTGGGGCAGGTTCTATATAGGGCCACCACCCAGGAACCAGGTTCTATATAAGGCCACCACTCCAGGAACTGTTGGGGCAGGTTCTATATAGGGCCACCACTCCAGGAACTGTTGGGGCAGGTTCTATATAGGCCACCACCCAGGAACTGTTGGGGCAGGGGGGAACTGTTAGGTTCTATAAGGCCACCACTCCAGGAACTGTTGGGGCAGGTTCTATATAAGGCCACCACTCCAGGAACTGTTGGGGCAGGTTCTATATAGGGCCACCACCCAGGAACTGTTGGGGCAGGTTCTATATAAGGCCACCACTCCAGGAACTGTTGGGGCAGGTTCTATAGAGGCCACCACTCCAGAACTGTTGGGGCAGGTTCTATATAGGCCACCACTCCAGGAACTGTTGGGGCAGGTTCTATATAGGGCCACCACTCCAGGAACTGTTGGGGCAGGTTCTATATAGGGCCACCACTCCAGGAACTGTTGGGGCAGGTTCTATATAGGCCACCACTCCAGGAACTGTTGGGGCAGGTTCTATATAGGGCCAGGAACTCCAGGAACTGGCAGGGGCAGGAACTGTTCAGGTTCTATAGGCCACCACTCCAGGAACTGTTGGGGCAGGTTCTATATAGGGCCACCACTCCAGGAACTGTTGGGGCAGGCAGGAACTGTTGGGCAGGTTCTATATAGGGCCACCACCCAGGAACTGTTGGGGCAGGTTCTATATAGGCCACCACCAGGAACTGTTGGGGCAGGTTATATAGGGCCACCACTCCAGGAACAGGTTCTCCAGGAACTGTTGGGGCAGGTTCTATATAGGCCACCACTCCAGGAACTGTTGGGGCAGGTTCTATATAGGCCACACTCCAGGAACTTGGGGCAGGTTCTATATAGGCCACCACCCAGGAACTGTTGGGGCAGGTTCTATATAGGGCCACCACTCCAGGAACTGTTGGGGCAGGTTCTATATAGGCCACCACTCCAGGAACTGTTGCAGGTTCTATATAGGGCCACCACTCCAGGAACTGTTGGGGCAGGTTCTATATAGGGCCACCACTCCAGAACTGTTGGGGCAGGTTCTATATAGGGCCACCACTCCAGGAACTGTTAGCAGGTTCTATATAGGGCCACCACTCCAGGAACCACCACTCCAGGAACTGTTGGGGCAGGTTCTATATAGGGCCACCACTCCAGTAACTGTTGGGGCAGGTTCTATATAGGGCCACCACTCCAGGAACTGTTGGGGCAGGTTCTATATAGGGCCACCACTCCAGGAACTGAATTTACCAGATGAACTTTAAAAGACAGTTGGATAATTTTATTCAGTCACTAAATTAAAAAAAAATTCCTGTTCAAACAAAAGGTGAATGATTAAATGTAATTGTGTGTATCTTTTTACAAGAAAATTTAATGTAAAGAAATATTTATTAAGACATACGATGTTATGAACTGAATTGACTTTAAAATCTTTATACTAACCAAGGAGTACTAAGGCTACAATACTCAGCACTATTAAATAATTATTATTTTTATAGTAATATGACAAAGTTACTGTATACTGTATTATCAAATTTCTTGAAACATATAATAAAGATGAACTATAGCAACTTTTAACATCACCAGGTAAAATGTATATAATTATTGTAATACAGTACAGGTATTATTAATTGCTGTACTGTAGATTAGTTGATATTATTACACATAAATTCTTTTGGTAAGAACAGAATATATGTTCATAATTTTCCCAAAGGTAATAATACAGAGGTCAGCTTCAGTCATTTGCAATTTATTGAACAAACATTAGTTAGTAAATATGCACTGTCACTGTTTGGTAGTTGTTTATGGTCATGAGATTTAAACACATTTTGAAGCTCCAGGACTTAAATTGGCCTTTTGTGTTTTACATATTCAGGGTAAAATGTTTACATAGCATAATGTAATAACATTTGTTGTTATGGGCAGGGTATATGTTGTGTGTTTTTCTTGTGCATGTGTTAAAAACTTTTGAAGTATAATGTTTAATCTCCTTCGGGGTAAGGGGGGGGTGGGGGGCAGAGGTTTGCTAGCCTGGGTCCTGAGTGAGGTGGAGACTAGGGGTTTGCTAGCCTGGGTCCTGAGTGAGGTGGAGACTAGGGGTTTGCTAGCCTGGGTCCCAAGTGAGGTGGAGACTAGGGGTTTGCTAGCCTGGGTCCTGAGTGAGGTGGAGACTAGGGGTTTGCTAGCCTGGGTCCTGAGTGAGGTGGAGACTAGGGGTTTGCTAGCCTGGGTCCTGATTAAGGTGGAGACTAGGGGTTTGCTAGCCTGGGTCCCAAGTGAGGTGGAGACTAGGGGTTTGCTAGCCTGGGTCCTGAGTGAAGTGGCATAGCAAAAACAAAAATGTGAACAAAGTATTAAAGCTCTGAATTCAGCACAGGTAAAACCCTGTTTCTCCAGTTGAGAGAAATATTCACAATTGATGACAGTACTGCATTTCAATAAAGAACCATTTGTTTACCATAGTTTTTATAATAATAGTAACTTTACAAGATGACAAATAGGCTTAGTATATTTCATGTTTTGCATTAGAAAATTAATTAATTTTTTGTATGAAAATATCATTGTATTCATGAAGATATTGTACTATACTGTACCTGTATATTAGATGAAGATAATTTTGATTTCCTTAAATAAAACTAATGCACTTTGTATATATGATTATTAAAGAAAATATTTCATTGTTAAATTGTAGGAGAGATTGTTGAAGTGGAAAAAATATATAAGAGATTTTGTCTTAGTACAGTATATTGTATCAATATACGATTTGTGTTATTACATGTGTTTCAATATACCTCCTTGAAAACTAGATTTTTAATACTGAACCCTTTTGCATTTTCGTTCATCAGTGATTGATATAGAATATTAGTGGAGGATATAAGGGGAGATGTTAAGTGACTCACCTGAACCGGAGACTGACAAAAGGAGGGCTCAAAATTAGATGAAAATTAGTACAAATGGCTCAGTGTGGTGTGTTCTTTGTTGTAGTTAATGAATGAAAAACCAAAATTTATATAAATATTTTTATTTTTATACAAACTGTAACTGGTAGTTAAAAACACAAGAACATCCAATTCACATGTGACCATCAACTTAAGACAATTTCTGAAACATAGGTACTCATCGTCATCATCATCATTATTCATACTTGCATGGGTAAGTTGCAGTTACCTGATGGCAGCTCTCCATGCTGTGTGGTCTCTTGCAGTCTTTCTTGTCAGGTTCCTAACTTTCATAATTACAACATCTGCATGAATATGTAGTACAGCTTCTACAGCAACAGTTACTTCTGCTGCTGAGATGCTAAAGTCATTTACTCCTGGATAATGCTGCTGTGTGTTATTTTTGGTATATATTTGTTATTTTTGGTTTATGCATTGTGTTATTTTGGGTTTATGCTCTACCAGGCAACTCTTATACAAGCTGCTTATTGGAAGGTTCTCTGCCCTTAGACAACTTCATATTATGTCAGCCAGGAACGAGTACATTACCTGTATTACACCCATTAACCCCAGATTTAATAAGGTCCTGTGCAACAACTGTGTGCTAGAGACAGGAGCCTTTTTAAAATGGTGTCTGACTAATCAGCAGACTTCGTGCCAAAGCGATGGCTCTAACCTCTCTTGTTCTAAGTCAGTTGGCCTTTGTTAAATAAAAAACAAGTCCACCACTGATTTTCCGGCACCCTTGGTTCCAATGCCTTGCCGGATTATCCGTTTTGCTGGACCAACCGAGGTCAGGTCCCGGTAATAATAATTCAACAATACAATCCACCTCTGACCCACTAATTATACACCTCCTGTGTCTCTAAAGCACCTTGGACTGCTAGAAACTTAAATTAAACAAATATTAAATGTAAATTAAATTTGAAAAAGCCATAATTTTGTGCAACATTCCTGTACACACTTTGTACTCAAATGTATTACACTAGACTAAATATTTTATCTCTTGTGCAAACTATGTGATGTTTCTCCTCAAATTAATCACTATCTTACAAGGATTCCAGCAATGCAATTTATAATCTGCTACGTCTAGTCAGTTACATTTTATAAATTAAAAACTTTAAGCCTAAAACTGAAGAGGATGAAAAAAATCACCCTGGCTGGGAGGGGTTTTTTTTTTTTTTTATGAGGTGATGAGCAGCTGTCAGGGAGGGGAGATAACAAAGTGTGCAATTATCAAATGAAGGGGGTTTAAGTTTTCCTTTATAAAATGTCACTGAATTGACTTGGCAGTACAGTATATAACCTGTGTTGCTGTAGTTCTTGTAAGATAGTGATTAATTTAAGTTCAAGCATCCCATAGTTTGCATTAGACATAATTTTTTTCGTAATTAACTTAGTACATTTGAGTACAGGTTTGCCCTTAGGACAATTATTTCTTTTACTTTTTCACAATATATATTTAGGATGGTGTGTGCATGTAAATGAGTAAAAATAAAGGAAGAAAGTTATGTATACCTTCCCGAAAATATGAGCTAAAAAACTAGTACAGGTTGTACCTCTCTAGTCCGGCATTATGTGGTCCGGAACGATTTTAGTTTGTCCAATAGGTAGATAGGCAGCTTTTTTTTTTTTTTACTTATCTGAATTATTATTATTATTACAGGAGTATTAAATTTTTGCCCCTCAGGCCCTAATGTGGGTCAGTGACCTATTCCCGGGTGGGCTAATCCCCTTAAAAAAAAAAAAGCCGCGGGAAATTAAGGTTTGTTTACATCCGGCAGTTCGGCTGCTCTCTCTCTCTCTGCTTGTCTATACAGAGTACAACATTTAACCCTTCAATATATATGAGCAGTAAATAAGTGTTGCTTTCATATTCTTATGTAGAGTAATGACGATATATTTTCACATGTGCGCACTTACATACGAGCAGTCTCACTTTTTTTTTTACCATTAATGGTTAGCTACTTATATTGTTCCATTTATTAACATTAAATAACATTACAGGTACTTCAAGCAACCATATTCATTTTTTTACATTAATTTTACTACAGCTAAACTCAGGGTCTTATTTTCTTCAGTTTTATATGTAGAACCAATCAGTCACTGGTTTCGTAAGCTTTAACATAAACAATGCCGGCAGCCGTCTCGTCTCCTCTAATATTCCACGTATTATTAATAAATTGTATTGTTAATTTTGCACATACGTACATTAATTCAATGAAAACAAATTCAGAAACATTAATTAAAATATATATGAACAGTAAATAAGTGTTGCTTTCATATTCTTATGTAAATTAATGATGATATGTTTTCACGTGTGCGCATGTGCACTTACATATGCGATCTCTCTTTTTTCTTTACCATTATCGTTAGCTACTTCTATTGTTCCATTTATTAACATTAAATAACATTACTTAAAACAACCATATTAATTTTACTACAGCTACAACCAAGGTCTTATTTTCTTCAGTTTTATATGTAGAACCAGCCAATTACAAGCCAAGATGACACAAAGGATGCAGAGCTATCTAACATTTCCACA